ACAGTAGCTGAAAATGCGTTAATATGATTTGGGGATACTCCTCACTTTAAAAGTTGTAAGTTTGCTACAATATGAGCACACTTAGCACATATTTTATTGTTCAAATGCACAAATGCTTGCAGTTTAAATGCATTTAAGACATACTAAATGTCCTGTGCAACGTGGCCCAACAAAAGTTATTCTTCTGCTCTATCTGGCACTGGTGAAGCCTCCTCTGGAGTATTGTGTCCAATTTTGGACCTCACACTTAAGAAAGGTGTGGACAGATTGGAAAAGATCCAGCAGAGTGACAAAAATTATTAGTGGGAAGCATAATTTATTAGGAAAACCTAGAATTCGCCCCCCTCCCCAGATCAGGTTATTTAGTCAAAAGACTGGGGGGTTGGGGGTGGGGGGTGTTGATAAGAGTCCTCAAATACCCAAAAGGGTGATTATAAAGAACATGGAGATACTCTTTTTCTGTGACTGTAGAGGACAAGACTAGGAATAATCACCTCAGAGTACAGCAGAAGAAATTTAGGATGGAAATTAGGAGGAACTTTCTGACTATGAAGATGGTCAAGCTTTGAAACAAGCTACCTAGAGAAGTAGTGGAATATCCAATTTCAAGAGCAGGTTAGACAAACACTTGGCTGGGTTGGCTTAGTCCACTCTGTCTTCTAGGCTGATTTAGACAGGGATGATCCTGCTGTGAACAGGTGCTAGACTAGATGAGGTCCCTTCCAGTCCTACTTTCCTATGATTCTATAAACATTTAAAAAATATAAAAACATTGCCCTTGCCCTTACTTTACTAGCTCTCATCAGGTATCTTATTTTACTGTTGGTACCCATTTTCTTGCCCACGCTCCTATCTTGCAATTACCATTTTTTTAGATCATGCCTGAAATTAGTTTTCAGGGTCCTTGGGTCAAGAACTATATTTTTTTAGCTGTATTTTAGTAGCCAAGTACAATTTTGGACATTGAAAAAAACATATAGGGAGTTATCTAGAAACTCTCAGTGCTGGCTTAACTTTAAATCAATGATAAAGGATTTTAATTTGAGTTGAGAGAGCAAGAGAGAGAGAGAGAGGGAAAAGTCACCATGATTTCTAATTAGTAATGTATACTTAAGGGACTATTCAGACTACTGTTATATAAAAGGTATACGATCTCTCCTTGGTCAAGACATTTCCTAGCTTGATCGATATATAGAATAACCAGGCTCTTAAGAATTATGCTCAGCACATTGCTTAACATCATAACAAATTGTTTTTCTTTGGCTGAAAATTTGTAAGTCACAAACCAAATTCCCTAGGATTTCTTAGGCAGTCAGAAGGTTTTCCTGGGATGGGCCTAAGAGTTTCCAATAGCAGAAGATCATGCAGAAACTGGAAAAGGCTCCCTCTTTCTATCATAATATAGGCACAACGGTAATCAAGGTTGAAGACTTGCCATCTCCTCAGCATCCCCATGGTTATCAATTCCCTGATGAAGGTGGAGTTTAAACACGCAACAAGAAGCTTAAAACAAAGTTTTAAAATTTTCTATAAGCTTAAACCACGAGCCACCTGAACCAATCCAGGGGGGGTGCACTAAGGATGCTACTCTGGAATTAGAAATATAGATCTCCTGCAGATAACATTGTTCCCATTACAATGGTAGTTCAAGGAAATAGATTAAACAAAACTCAAACATGTATTTCTATGAAAACCTCATATGATATAATTAAAGAACCACTCTGCCTGATAACTTCCTAAAGACAGTCCTGATAACTTCCTAAAAATGGAAGCTGGGCATGGGTATACATTTGTCAAAATTACCATCAAAACCATCTGGGCCAATGTGCATGAAGAGAGTGCTCATTTATCTATTATTAGTTTTTCTCTACATTATAGCTTGGGTGCAGCTTGAGTCCATTAAGAGGTTGCAGTGAAACTCCACCACTGTTTTGTGCCAAGCAATTCTAGATATGAAAAAAGGAATAACTGTTGAACAAATCCAGTCATAAAATTTACAGTAATTGTGTTATCTAGTCATGATTGTCTATTTGACAGATTTTACCTCTGGTAGGTATAGACTTTGTTGCTTTAAAATAATTTTATAAATGTATGCACCTAATACTTGCTTCCTCATTTGATTGTACAGGTTTTTATTTTTAATTTGTAGTCAGTTCTTAAACTAAGCAGAGTCATCGTTGTGGAGGATATAAGGTATTAAATTAGGTCTCTAAGGGCTTACACGGGAAAGAGAAAAAGGATAATGTAACTAATAAAGGAAATTTAGACAGAGTATTTTACAAGTTGGCAAAATAAAGAGGCCTGAGATATCGCTACTAAAATTAGAAGCATGAAAAAGCAGCACGAACTACAGTAGATTTTCTGCTTAAATGCGAGCTAGGCTCAACTGAGTGATAAGGCAAGGCAGGGTACACAGCTGTGTGCCTGTAACTCCCTGCTTCACCTCTCTGTGTGCATAGGACTGAGGACTGTACCGGAGAGGTGGCCAACACTCTGTGTTACATGACTGTGGAAAACAACAACACCGAGTATTCCTTCTGCTAAAGTAGAGCTGTTCAGTTCACCCAGGCCCCTGGGCAGGCTCCAGGCTTCAGGACTCCTTGGGGACCACGTCTGACCCACAAGGAACCTATTTATGATGCATAATGAGGGCTTGAAATGTTTGTGATAGTAGGGGGGGTTTAAATTAACTTTAGATATGTGAGAATATTGAATGCAATCTTCCTTTTATTATATCACACTGAAACTAATGAAGCAAGGTATTGAACCTATATCAAAAGCCATATTTTCCCCTCCCATGTTTCTTTTGGCATCAGAGTTAATTAGATGTAAACGTTATCCACGTTGCAACTATCACTATACATTTAGCTAAATTTTTTCCCCTCTCAGATATGGGCCACTTGTCTTTTTTTATCACTAGGAGCCTCCTCCAAAGACCCTTACAATGCTAACTTCAATTTTGAACAAGCTCCGATTCTCCACTCATCAATTCCATATGAATTTCTAACATAAAAATACAAAATAATCTCTACAAGTCCCAAGGTCTTGTCTTCACCTTTTTAATTTGGGAAAAGATTGGAAAGAAATAATACAAAAACTTTTCAATCCACACCCATAAACACAAGTTTAACAAGAAGTTAAAAGAGCACAAACTAATTTTGTTTTTTCTTTCACAGTTCACCCTTAAATATGCATCACCATTTTGGTTAATGGAAGATAAAAATATATTTCCTAAAATGTCTGCAAGAAATTTTTAAAAAGTCAACAACTGGCCTTTTGTTTTATTAGTTTATTAGAACTTTGAAAACCTGTTTCAAAGGATTAAAAAAAAATCAAATGCATGCTGATTTTAAATTTTGCTTCAGTGAAAACAAAGTTTAATATAGTTGGAAGAAACCCTAAGGGCACGTCTTCATGAGCAGGAACGTGTGTTTCTCTGGGAACAAACAACAGAAGCACATGTGTGTGCCACTGCTAGTTGTCCCTGGGTATGCCCCTGCACATATGATCTGAAGAGTGGCAAATTGCCCAGGGTGGAGTAGGGGACACTGGGGCCAGCATCTGGGCTGGCCCCAGCAGCCTCACCTGGGGTCCTGGAGGCCTCCCAGGACTGCAGTGATCTGGGTGTGTGCAGCCTGGTTGGCAGCCGGAGTGCGGCTCTGGCCAACCAGGCTCTGGTTCCAGGTGACGCACGCTGCATCTACGTGTGCCACCCCGCTTTTTTCTGGCACAGGTTTTTAGATACTGGGATTTTTCTGGTATCTAATTTTGCCACCAGGCTACAAGCATGCAGCATGGCAAACAGAATCACAAGCACCGTGTGAATTTTGCAGCACCTCAAAAGGCTTTGAAGAACCACAAATCATATGTTCCCACTTGTGGGGATGCAGTCCTAGTTTCTATCTTGGTTTAACACAGAAATTCTTAACCAGGGTGCCACTGGCGATGCATAGGGGATGCATGCGGGTGCACATGCACCCCCTGAGTGTGGCAGTGCACCCCCTATCAAAAGGTGCTGCCAACACTGATGGCAGCATCTGCAGGTGGTCGCCAACCCCTGGTCGGGACTTGCCATCCCCTCTCTCCCCACCCCGATAGTGCCAGTGGCATCTGCAGGAGCTCCCTGCGTACTGATGCTGCCCTTCCTCCGCTGCACTCCCGCTGCCACTGTGCCCCCCCAGTCGCCAGGGGCACGTGTCGTTCATGAAGGGTGGTGTGTGAACCTTCTAAAGGATCTATACAAGGGTGCTGAGATCCTTGTAAAGGTGCTACACTTTTAGGTATGCAAACATACATATGATTCACAAAATAAAACCAGAAATTGCAAATAGGAATCCATCATGTTGAAAATATTCTGACCTGTTGGGGGTCTTTCTAATTTAGCAACAAAAAAAATTGATCTATTATTTTTCTGTGGTTGAAAATGAACGAAAGCTGAGGCCTGACATTTTCTGAGGGGTGTCTTGAGACTAATGAGACGTGCCTTCAGTCAAAAAAGGTTGAGAGCCATTGATCTAACAAACCTGCATACATTTACATACTTTTTATCAGGAGAAGGCCAAATTACAGCATAAACCAGATTTTAATAATTTAATTTGTCTTCCTTTGGGGTGTTTTATAATTATGTTGAAAATGTTCATAGATGTCTCATTTTGCAATTATTATACTGTATAGAAACTGAGTGTTTGTGCAGTTCATCACACATCTAAGACTTCTGTCAAGGTATAGATAGACTATGATGCTTAATCCTCAGCCCACTTCATTCAGAATCAGGAGTCAAAACTCACTTAAAAAAAAATAAATCACAGGACTGTTTTTTTAGTCATTAAACTTTATAATGAATAATGGTGCAGGAGTTTAACTGTCTTTGGTTTCTGCCTTTCAGCTGTATCTGGCTAACATTTTTAAAATTTTCTCTGCAGCTGTGAAGGTGAAAATATCTATTTTATTTTTAAATGAAAACCGAGATTCTCATTTAATAACATCATTCAAGAATTAAACCTTTAAGAAAAACACCAGATATCATGACACTTAGGATAGATTCATAAACATTTGCAACACTTTGTACTACTTTAAAATATGTTGCTGTAGGATTGCCAAATTAATGGACTGGAACAATGAGTAAATATTGGTTAGGCGTGTCCTGAAAAGTTCCATGTGTTTGCAGCTCCCTTTAACAAGCCAGTTTAGGCATGAATTGTCCTCAGTAGCTGGCTGATGTTCAGCACTATGCTTCTTCTTACTAGATTGGGATGGTTTCATGGCTGTATGCTTGTATCACCAAGATGAGACTCAATTCAGATAACATGACATTTCTGTATAATAATAGAATGAAATAATCAAAGGAAACAGACTCCATATATACTTCTTGAATTTAGCAGGCTACGATTGTCAATTATAAACATAGATAAAAGTACCTATTATAGGCTATTCTTTGGTTGCATTTAAAAACCCAGCAACAAATTTGATTTGATACAATACATTACCTAAGTAACAGCTATGCAGTTACTTACTACAAAATACTTCCCTATATCATATGGAAATGGCAGAGTTGAAATATAGCATTAGTTATACAATATAGGGATTTTTTTTAACTTTGTTATGGACTTGGCAAGAGACTACAGCTTTTAGACACATTCTATGGTGACAGTAGCTCCCTTATTTGCCAAATAGCAGCATGGCAGTTAGTGCCAGCCGCTGACTTGATACTTTATCAATGACTCAACCTTGAAAACACTGACGTATGTAAGTAACTCAGAATCAGGGCTCAGGTGTGTAATGATTTGAATCCAGGATACTCAATTCTTCTAATGTAAAGTCTTGACACATCACTCAAGCACTACAACCTGGTTTGAAAGAGAAGGCAAATCAGAAAATACTGATATATATTTCTTCCCTTTTTTGTAGCATATCTATTTTTGTATTACCATTAGAACAAATATATAAATAATAATTTTTAAAAATGTTAATCCCTTCTCTGCGGCAGTTCACTGTGGCAGACTTACAATGGACACATGCTGTGTTATGCTGAATGTAGGTAAAAACTAAATTTCTATTTAAAAATTATATTTATGAAGTGCCTTAGTCTTCATATTTCATTGAAATATAGGAAAAACAATAATAATATATACCATGTAATTCCTTATTCAGAGGCCTATGAAATAACTTGGCCAGACAAATACTTTAAAAGGGCAGATTTAGGTCCCCATTCTATAGTGAACTCTACTGTTGTGCATTACTGTGCTCATGAGAGTATCTTTGACTTCAGTGAGACTCAGCTGAGATCAAAGTCCACTGGGAGATTATTAGGCAAGACTGAAGCCTTAATTCTCAATCCCTTTCTTTTGCTTTGTCTTAATGTTCTGCTTTCAGCACTTACTAACAGCAGGCATTGTGCTGCAGTTAAGGACAGTATGACCTTTCCAAATTTACATTAAATCAGAACTGCATGGCTCTATTCCCGATATATTTATGCTTCTTGGTTTTTCAAACACAGACTACCAATTCTGTCAGATTTTGGCACTCACTAGGATTTTCTAAAGGCCAAGGATTTGTGCATTAACCAGCTGCATGAGGTAACCTTCTTTCTGAAGGTTTTGGCAGTGACAGGAATTGTTTGTTTTTGCATTTAGTATTTGACATAATTAAAACTTGAAGCATTTTATATTACAAAAATCCAAAAGTTGACTTTACTTGCGATATTGTAGCTAACAATTTTTTACAATGAACTGCACCGAAGGAAAGATCTTTAGCAAGTATATGATTTTAGGTTCCAAGCCTAAGTATATTATACAAGCAAATAAATTGATTATAGGTATGAATTCATGCTAGACTGGCCCATGGTTTGCAAATTCTTAGTAGCATTGAGCTTATCTTATTTCTGTGAAGAAGTGAACCCACTTTTGGGGGCTCAAAATTACCAACTACTAGTAAGAAGCATCACTTTAAAATACTAAAGCATGACAAAGAACTTGGAAAAACTGTTAAGTCGATGTCAATACTTACAGATATTGAAAATAACCATGAGGCAAAATATGATCCATATAAAGTCTCATAAGCTCCTTTTGATCGATACAAGTCACATAATGCTGATCCATTTACCCCAGTATCCTATCACAGTGGCAGAGAGTGAATGTTAAGGGGAAGAGTATTTAAGCAGGGCATATCCAGAAAGATACACACTCTCATGCTTTCCCTCTACAGCCTCCAGGATTCAGAGACATAGGAAGTCTTAATTTTGAAGATACATCTTTAGTTATCATGCTGAATAACCACTTATGTTTATCCTTCATTAATTTGACCAGTTTTCTTTTGACTCCTGTTATTTTAGAGCTTGATCAAAGCTGGTTGAAGTTAGCTTAAGACAGAACCTACCCACTGCTCTAGAAACAATTAAATAAAATTAAAACCAAATAAATAAATAAAAACTAAAACCAAATAAACCCTGCTAAACCTTTTGTTTTCCTAATTTCTACCTATTTACATTCTCACTGACATCCTGTCACACTTCTAACTTCTCTCATTTCTTGGAGTCTCAGACCAGCAGAGAGGCCCTACGCCTGAAAAAGGGTAACTGTGCCCAAAAGCTCACAAAGATTTTTTTCCAACTACTCAGTTGGTCTAATAAAAGATATCACATCTACCCAAATAACCTTGCCTGCCTATGTCCTTAGACCAATACAGCTACAACCAAAGACCCCAAACTAAAACCAAATAACGTTTTGTTATAATTTTTTTTGATTTGATGTTGTTTTTAACAGAACATAAATTCATATTCAGTAATATTGAGGCCTTAAAATGGTACACCAATCTCAGACCTTTCATAGTGCCTAAAAACCTGAAAATTAATTTATGTGATTGCTAGTCAAACACACCTGAGCTTGAACCATCAAACTATTAACTTTAAAAAAAAAATTAACATTAAATGTCATTTCTAATTGGAAAAAACCTATAAAATGCCACTCAAAGGAGTGTTTCACTCTGTATGGTTTGGGTTTTTTTTAAACATATGCTTCTTCCACCTCTCTACTCTTTGCAATCTTTTAATCAACACCTAAGAGCCTGACACATGTGAGGAGAATGTTAACTGAGAAAAAGGAGGGAAATAATTAATGGAATTAAAATTTACATGCAGTTTTCCCTCACTGATCCTATTGCTGCAAACAGTTACACATGCTATGAATGCAGGATTGCTTAGAGGCATAAGTATTAATAGAACCAGACTTTTTGTGCATAAGATACCAAGAATTGTGAGCTTAATAAATGCAGCTATCATATATCCAGCTAAAATAGAAGTCATGCACCTGTACCCTTGTATATAAAAAAAGGATTTCATTCTTAACATTTTTACCTACCTCAGGTAAAAAGAGAGAGGTATTGTTCTCTATAGAATCTCAAAAGTCAGCTACTAAAGTAGTCACTTTTTATTTGCAGTGGTGAAAGGTGAGGTAGGGAGCCAGTTCTCCGCTGCCTGGCCCTCACAGGTGATATAACAATACAAGGCAGTGGAGAGTCTCTAGCAGCTACATGATGTGTGACTCTTTTTGGTAAAATGTGTATGGCACAATAAGTCATGTCTCTTTACTTTTTGTGTTCTGTGTACAAAAATAATAATAATGCATAATAATGAATCAATGTTTGATGTTGAGTACTGGAAAATCCTGCATTATTGAGAAGAAAAAGGGTTCTCACTTGTTGAATATTTAATCTTCTGTCTGCCTAGACTACACTAATACAGCCCTATTCAGCCCACAGGTGCCATTGTATAAATTTTACTTTCTTGGGTCCTGATCCTATTGTCGAAATTATGCACAACAGGAGAATTAAAAACATACATACATGTTGGTAAGATAAGGGTTTTAGGGACCAACAAAGCAGCATAATTGTTCAATCAAGGCAGTTTTCACTGCTCTACTCAAATAAATACCCACATTGCTAGAGTCCCCATTGCTAGACTTCCTGGGTCAAACCTCCTGAATCAGCACATTCCCTCCCCTCCCAGTCATGCCTATTCTAAATATGTTTTGGAGGTTTTTTTCTTCCTGTTTTTCAGCCGTCAGGATATGCTTTTTTCAAGCTGTTTTCTGCAAACATTAAACTTGTTTTTTAAAAAAAGTTCAAGCTGAGAGTCCTGTGTAATCACATGACTTAACCACATGACTCCATCAGCTGGGACTTTGGAGGAACACCAACAGAAGTGGGACTGGCTATAAAATAGTGAGGTAGGAAGGACAGAAGTTTTTGGCATAACCATACTTTTGGAAGGTGTAGGAATGATTTTTTTTGTCCTTTAGTTTGGGTTGAGGGGAACAGACCACTACTTTGGAAAGACCAGAAATCAGTGCTGGAAGTATTTTGAAGTAGGTGATGTTAACTCTTAGCACTCCTTTTTCCTGGAGATAAAAGCTCTTTGTTTGACCAGTAGAGGGAGCCAGAAGAGATCTGCCTTCCTGACAGCATGCTTCCTTCCCAGAGACTGCAAGGTGTGGGAGAAGAAAAACTGAGAGTATCTGCTAGCTTCTCTATCCAGGCTGAGGAAGCAGAGGTACTGCTGGATTGGGGGTGCAGGGAGAGGGAGGGACTTCTCTCTTTGGGGAAGGCAAGCAAGGGCCTGAGGAAGACTAGGTGGTGAGCTGATCTGGTGGAAGTGGTGGAGTGCATGGAGAATGGCTGTAAGGATCACGTAGTGTAGAAGGGACACAAGGTGGGTGTACTTTAGAGGAAAATGTATAAAACTACCAGTGTGGGTTGGGGGAACGGGGGATGTGGCTGGGGGTATTGAAGGGACTGGACAGGGATGTGAGAAACTTTAGAAAAAGTGAAGATATGAGAAAAAAGTGCTACTATAAATGATATATGTATAGGGTTTTTTGGATGGCTCTTATGTATGATAAATGGGCATTTCCAATTTGCTGAGGGGTTGACTTTTGTTTTGCTTTGTTCTTTTTGTCCTCCAGCATCTTTCTTCCTAAAGGTACACTTCTGCGTTGGTACAACAGAAGTATGGTTGTACTGTAAGTCCTAGTGTAGCTGACAAGCTTTTTCAGTAGGGTGAGCTTTCTTTTGCAGCTTGTTTTGTCTCTGGCCCAGTAACTTTGGGGTCAAATCTGCTCAACTGTTTCTTGGATTTTAACTTTGTGGTCTAGGCTTAAAAATCAGTAAAGGAAACAGTTTACAGCTTCACCCAGGCATCTAATAGGGGAAAATCTTGAAATAACCATTACTAGACAAATTCTTGAACCAGTAGACAAGAGCCTGATAGGCTGTTTCTGGGAGGTCCCCCTCCTGCATATCCTCTCAAGAGGTGGTGAATAAACCTAGTAGGAAAAAGAAACTTCTTGGAGTGCTTTTTAAATTAAGGTGGTTAATCTAACCACAGAATTCTGAATACCTATTACTGTTATGACTAAGCATATCAAAGTGTAGCTCAACTTCAAAAGGCTTCTGTGTTTGCATTTAACTGTATCCAGAAAACATCTACATAGCTAGCTTCTCTGAAAATCCAGGGATTTCTACTGCAGGCCAAAATCTGTCCTGATTTGTGTCTGTAATGCCACCATCTCCCAACCCCAAAGCCTGATTTGTGATTACACAGGTGTAAGTGAGGACATCATTTGATGAAAGCAGCTTCACTAATTGCAGTGATGGGCGAGAACTCGGTCCAAGAGTAAGCTCCATGTTAGGCAGAATGCCTTAGTATTTATTAATGTAGGGTTTGTCTTCATGGTAGCATTAGTCTGGATAATTAGACTGTGAACATTCACACTACAAAGCCCTACCCAGGTAACTGGTGTTGTGGTCTTGCATACATTGCTAGAACTTTGAGACTGTATGCATCTGCTTAGTATTTGTGTCTCAGTAAGATAGACTGTTGTAATTATTTTCCAGTGAATGTTTGACCTTTCTGGGCATATAAGAGTGAATTGTGGGGAGGTATTAGTGGATTATCAGCACTTAAGTAATTATTTCTGTGACCTCACTGCAAAGAGGATGGATTTCTAACCCACTGCAGATGTGCCAACTAGATCAGGTTGAAAACATTGATTACATTGGCTGATATGTACTTGTATAGGGGTGAGAGGGGATAAGGGTGTTTTAAAGGCAACTTACAAATAAGAGCCTAAGTAAATCCAGCAAGTAGAATGTTGTAGTTGTGCCAGAGCTTTGCATTTGTATGGAGATCCATAGTCTCTTCCTTTTATTGAAAGCTACAAATCAATCTTGACTTCAGTCATCTAAAGAAATCTATGAAAACTAAATTTATTTCTGCACCTTTTGTAGTGTTACTTCTACTCTGTGTTGTGTTTAAATTTGCAAATGGTGACAAAATAGAGGAACTGGCAACCAGATGGGGGAAATCAAGCCAAACTGCAAAATGATCTGGAGGAATCTGAGCTGTGGGAGCTTTGGGCGGTAATGGAGGGTATGATTCTGCTAAACTTCTTGAAGGAAAAAGACACAGCAGAGATGTATAATAGAGGAGCATCACAACTAATTGGCCATAGTCTTTACAATTACTCTTGTCAGCTTTCACACTGATAGTTTTCTTTGCTGGTTCATGAAGCACTGTGGTTAGTAGATACTATCTACTTTCACTTCTGTGTGAACCTGCTTGAAAGCACCACTAAGTGCAGCCTCAATCCTCAGAAACCAGGAGACGAATGTAAGGAGTTCTCCTAAACCTCATGGGTTAAACACAGATAGACTAACCTGCAAAGATTGCATCAGTTTAGCATCAGAATTTTTGACTAAGATGTGTCTAATAAGCAAGTGAACAGCTGTTCTCTTTTGATTCTAGAAATGGAGCCACATGCCTACAGTGGCTCAGGTCAGAAGCTGTGGGGTACTAGAGCATGCCTCCCTGCTTAGCTGGCGCAGATGGCTTGGACCAAGGCTAGCCTGTCCACCTGATGGGGGTGGGGTGTGGAAAGGTGCAAAGCATCCTGAGATGCTGGGGGACTATGAGTTGACTTGTATTTGGAGGGGATCTAGGACAGAAATTCAATAAACTGATTTAAACTAAATCAGTTGAGTCTGATGCTACACCTATCTAGGCTTATCTTAAACTGGTTTTGTCCATTTTGAAAGCAGTTTGTGCACTGAATTTCTGTTCTGTTACAGATTTGAACTGGTTTCTAATCACTTGCACCAGTTTGTGTAACTTCTGTCCCTGTCCATAGTCTTCAAGCTATTTTTAGGTTTTTTTTTTTTTTTGGTTTGTTTTTTTTTATCACCCAACTAATAACTTGTATTTGCTTGTACTGCAGATAGGCTTGCTCTCATCTTGGCTCAATTCAGCCCCAATAATGCTTTATTCTTTTTCTGCATACAAGCAGGCTAACTTTACTGGATAGCTGTGGGTTCTAGATGAGGAGTTTGCAATTCAAGGTGGCCACATCCTATAATAAACCTTGAGTGTCTCTGGATGACTCTTCTTTTCCATGCTGCAGGAATAATATCTTTCTTGTTCTCAGACTTCTTAACGTATTTATTAAGTAGGAACACTTCCTCTAAAGCAGCGTTTCTCAACCTTCTAAGTAGCAAGTACTCCCTAACTTCTGAAAATTTTAATAAGTACCCCAACACTCAATTTTCCAGGGGATTTTATATTTGCAGACTAATGTGTGCCATATGTTGGAAGAAGGGCTGTCTATATAAGGCTGTGATGTGACAGATGTCTGATCTGGTGTGGAAAGGGTTGCCACCTTTTATACCGGGGTGCACAACTCAAGTTTGTACCTAGGCTGGAGGTGCTGTAGGCCAAAACTAGGAGGGCTGAACCCAGTGCCGTGCAAAACACAGCACACCAAATTTATTACTGGGAAATTTTAAAACCAAATTTTTTTGCCATGGTTTTGAGAGGAAAAGAGTGCGAGAGAGTGTTGGGGTACCTGCATACCCCCTGCATGTCTTGCGTACCCCCAGGGGTATGTGTAC